GAGGCGCTACAAAACGAGGCTGTTTTTGAGCACGCGCCAACTCATGACTGAGAAGAAATCACTGGCTCGCACAAGGAAGAGACGCGCTAGAAAGTACCGCCGCCGTCAGCACTGAGAAGAAAGCGCCAGCTCGCACAAGGAAGAGACGAAAGTGCCGCCTTTGTGGAGACAAGCCCAGGCGACTGAAAGACGACGCTGCAATGATACACCCTCACCGACGCGAGAAAAGGAGACGATACAAACACCGTTGTTTTGGAAAGCGCCCCGAACCGTCGCTGAACAAGAAATTCTTGACTCTTCGCGTACCCCCAGCAGCGACACGGCCTACCTCAACGTCCTTATTAGGGACCTGCCCATGGACACCTGTTCCCCCCACCTCCAGCCACCCGTTGCCCCAAAGGGGCTTGTTTCACCTCGCTGCGCCCGGCTCAGGCCGTAATACCCGGGGCCACCCTCCGCTGGGGCGAAGGCTACCCCCCCTATCTCACCCACGGCGCAGCTTAGCTAGACAGCCCACGCTGGATAAGTGGACCACCATCCTCCTTCTCGGGCCTGACACGGGGGGACCCCCCCACTGGCACCTGACATCTCACCCTCACTGGCACGGCGGGGCCCGCCTGGCTCGCGCAAGCAGGCCTCCCTGGCTCCCAGACTTTGCTGTCCGACGACGACAGCCGGCTCGCGTGCCATGGGCAGGAGGTGGGCCACAGCATCCCCCCCGCCTGCCTGGCGGCGAGCTCGACCTAGCTAGGTCACAGTTTTGTCACACTGCAGGCGCACAAACATCAGCGGCGGTTAGCTGCGACCCTGGAAGACCAACACCCACCATCCCCACAGAGGTGCCAGTCTCCGCGTTGCCAGACCAGCATTCAGCGTGGCAGGATGTCCACTCCGGACCACACCATCGAACGGCACCAACACCGGGCGAAGGACCTATCACTCGTTACTATTTGCTCTGGAGCGGCGGTTAGCTGCGACCCTGGAGGACCCTCGAGAATGGCGACCATGTCCCTTGACAGACAGATCTGGGGCCCGTTCGAGGGGCGTTGAGGTGTTTCTCCTCGCCTTTCCCCTCGGGCCCCTCTCGGGCCAGGCGGGTGCCCCCCGCCCTTGGCCCCCGGGGCTCGCCAGGCGTGCCGACTGACGCCGTTGGCTTCGTCTCCCCTCCCCAGGGCCGCCCTTGACCCCCGCTGTCCGTGGTAAGGTTCCTCACTTTCAGCGGCGGTTAGTTGCGACCCTGGAGGCTCACGTGGCGCGTGGTTGACGGCGACCCCGAGTCCCGCGGGAAGGGCGGAAGCGGCGGACATGGTCGGCCCATGGTGGCCGTCGGCTCTCGCAGCTGCTACAGCGCAGTGTCCCCCAGGTCGCCCCACCCAATTGCAATGGTTCTCCCACTTGTTTGGACACACGCCACACACCGCCCCTGGAGGTACAGCCGGCTTTGTGTACTTCGGGGATAAGGCCGTCCCTCGGTGGCCTTTGGCATACTTCAGGCGGCAGCTGCCTCACCACCAGTGCAGCACCCCTCTGGATCCCCCTGCCTCGCTGGCGATGCTAACCACGCCTGCCTGGCCTTCTCCTCTAGCCCACCTGGCCTGGCGCTGTGCCGTTGTCCACGGGGCCGGCTCGCGGTCGTCCGGGCCTACCACGTGCACTGTCTGGTGGACTTGTGGGTGCTGTGATCGCCACGGAGTGGTTCAGCCTTTCGCAGCAGCAGCAGCACCACCACCCCGGGCTCATCCCCCCGCTCCGGGCAGGTCGCGTCGTTCCACGTTCCTCGGCAGCTCAGCTCCCCTAGCCAGCTCACGTCGTTGGGACGGTTGGAGCCTGGCGCCTCACAGGCGACTCGCTCATCGGGCTTCGCGCCTGCCCCCACTCAGTATGACGGACACGTTTGCCACGGTACACGTCATGACGCTGTGTGGGTCATGCCTCACGGCAGGCATCCTCGACATTTTGTCCACCGCACGGGCCCGAACTTCCCAGGATGCCCCCTGCCGTCAGCTCCCCCACAGCCCCGCGGCTGCTTTGTGAGTGGGCCGGCCGGCTAGCGGCGCGTCTTGTAGCTAATTAGGCTCGCCCTTCGGCCCGGAGACCCTGCTCGCCGCGCGCGCTCTTCGCTCGCGGCCGCGACCGAAAAAGTACCCCCAGCAGCCCGTTCGGAAACCCTGACCGTGAGAGTTGACGGGGAAAAAAAACCGAAGAGGTGCATATAATGAAACAGAGCGGGCAACCAGGGTGAGCAGAGAGATCTGTGGGAACAGGGGGGGGGGCCTTGGAGGGCCTCTTGGGGCCATCCGTGGAGCCCGCGTGGGAGCGAGAGAAAAGGGAGGAGGAGGAGGAGAAGGAGGAGGAGGAAGAGGATGAGGAGACGAAGGAAGAGGAGGACGAGGAGGAGGAAGAGGAGAAGGAAGACGACGACGACGACCACCACGACGACGAGGAAGAGGAGGAAAAGAAAAGACGATGAGGGCAAGGACGAGGACGAGAAGGAGCAGGAGAACAACGAGGGCGAAGAAAGAGCCTTCAACAACACATTTTACAACACTCGTGGACCTCTTTGAAAGGATAAGATCCCTCTAGGGGCTATTGTAGGAAGTCTTGGGGCTCTCTTGGAGCCCTCTTGGAAACCTCTTGGAACTCTCGCGAAGGCGCTTCGGAAGCCCAGGAGCGTCTTGAACATGTCGTGGAGGGAATAAGTGGAAACGACTGGTCGGATACAACACCAGACGCGCTACAAAACATAGTTTTTCTTGAAACATTAAGTAGCCCACAGTGGAAGAGGAACGGCCGCAATGACACAGGCAGGAGACGCGGCATAAAGTGCCTAACTCACCCGGTGCCAAGCGCACCTGGTGCCATACCCACCCAATACCAAATGCACCTGGTGCCTGGCTCACCTGGTGCCGAATTTACTCGGTGCCTACTTCACCCGGCGCCTACCTCACCTGGTCGCTAACTCAACCAAGCGCCTAACGCAGTGACTAACTCACCCTGTGCGCTACTCAGCTGGTGTCTGTAACCTCGGCCTAACTCACCTGACGCCTAACCCACCCAGTGCCTAACTCACCCGGCGCCCAACTCACCCAGTGCCTAACTCACCTGGTTCTTAACTTCACCCGGCGCCTAACTCACCAAGTGCCTAATTCACACGGCGCCTACCTCAACCCGTGCCTAACTCAACCAGTGCCTGACTCGGCCGATGCCGAATTCGGCCCGTGCCTACCCCGCCCATCACCCGATGCCGAACGAACCTGGTGCTTAACTCACCTGGCCGCTAACTCACACGGTGCTGAATTCATCCAATGCCTCACTCACCTGGTGCTTACTTCATCCGTCCCTAGCTCACCCATTGCTGGACTCACCCGCTCCTCACTCACCCAGTGCCTAACTCACCTGGCCTGACCCACCTGGTGCTTAACTCACCCAGTGCTTAATTCACCTGGTGCTTAACTCACCTCGTGCTGAACTCACCAGGCCTAACTCACCGAGTCGCGAATCACCTGGACACACGTTCGGGTGAATCGGAGCGGGTGAATCGCGACCGGATGAAACAGCCTGTCTCTCCGGCCACTTTACGTGGCGCCTCCAGGTGCATCCTGCTGCGCCGGTAGCACGGAACGCACCCACTCTTTCGGCTTGAGGGGGGCTGTCTTGCAGTGGGGGCAGATGTACTGTACATCAGATGTGTGTCACCGCCGAGAGCAATCGTGAAGTCGGCCGCGGCTCTCATACGCTCAGATTTCAAGATGGCATCGTAAATCTTCTCCGGGCTGACGTTCTACACGGCCGCTTTGTCCATATGTTTCTCGAGCTCCGCGTACATGGCGAAGTAGATGAAAGCAACTTGCTGACACGTGGATTCCTTCTTCTGCTTGCTCTTTCTAAAGTGCCACCCAGGCGTCAAGCCCATGGTGATGCGCCTGAGCCAATAGTTTGGGTCAGCGTGCTGATAGCGGCCTTGGCTGCACTCGCCGCCCATGCTCTTGGCGACGCGCTCGTACGCGACGATCGACCCGATGTACTGAAAAGCAGAGACGTCGCCATTGTCGTAGGCCTCGGCAGAGTTAGAAACCACGCCGTGCTCCTCCCTGCTGCAATAGCACTCGATTGGGTCATGGGCGATGACAGGGCCGCCCGAGAACCGGATGATACCGTCAGAGCCGTTGACCAGAGGAGACAACTTCTCTTCGGGAGGATCTTCGGGCCCACGTATCCCTAGCGAACCTCGTGCCACTCACCATCGCCCTGCCCTGCGGGCGACAATGGAGATGGATCGCCCGCGTGTCGGCAAGGCTCCCGTCCCGAGGGGTCGCATGGAGTTCCGCTACCGCTCGCGCTCTCCTGCACCTTTCCACCACCCACGTCGGTACCACTCGCCCTTTTTCTGCGTGCGCGCGGGGGCGACCCAGATTCCGACATTGCAGGCGCAAGATAAGCTTTGTCTCGCTCACCCCATCGCAGCGTTTCGTCGAGGGCGCACGGCCAAAGGGTCCGCTTCAGCTCCCAATTCTTGTTCTGCAACGGCCGAGCACCTGAGCCCAAATGGCATCTGACGTCGGGAGGCTGAGGCAAACAAACTGACATGTTGGCACACGTAGGCTGACTGATCCTGGGCAGTGTGGATCGCCTCTCAGAACACTGCCCTCCCCCCACCGCTACATCCGCGGGCCCCGGTGCGCCGGCTGGGGCGCGCGCACGGGCAGACGGCTCGACGTCGGCGCCAAGCAGCACTGCCCCCACCGAGAACAGGCAAAACTTGTTTGATCAGTGGCGAGCTGGGTCCAGCAGGCGGTCGAGCTGGCGTTGGGGCGCGTCTGGAGCGAGCTGGGCACAAATGCAGGGGAAGGAAGGAGGAAAATGGGGGGCAGGGCCGCGAGATGCGGGAAAAGACCAAAAGGATGCCGCCATTGCGTCTTCTGTGCTTGGACATGCTCTCTGAACGGAGCGGAAGTGCACGCCGCGCGCCGGCTGCCCCACCCCCGGGGGGGGGGGGGCGCCTCGCCCCGGGAGGCGCCGCTGCTCTCCAGCTGGGCGATCCTGTCCCTGGCCTCCTGCAGCTGCTGCTCGAGCTGCCGCCTCGCCTGGCGAGGCGCGGAAGGGCAGCGGAGCACACACACACACACACACGCGAGCTCACTGCCGATAGGCGGAGGGGCGGAGAGAGGCCCGCGAAGGAGACGACAGGAAAGGAACGTAGAATTTGGGGGGGATTCCTTCCGACGAGATGCCGTTTCTAGTCCCATGCTCGGGAGACGGATAAGAGAAAAAAGCGGAAGAACACGAGGAGGAGGAGGAGGAGGAGGACGAGGAGGAGGAGGAGGAGGGGACATGCCAAGAAATAGTGTCCAATGACAGCCATGGAGTAAATAAAAAACAGCAGCAGCAGCAACAATAACAATCATGTTCAGACTGTTCGTTCCTATCTGCTCAAGTGTCATTCAACGTGTATTTCCCGAACCCTCGATACCCGCCCTCGTCGTCTTCGATCGCACCCCTTTTGGGGGGGTAGATACTTATTCCCTGCAGGCCGGGCCCCGGCAAGCGGCGGGGCGGCCCCGGAACGTCGGCCTGGCCAGCGGCAGCGCTGATCGGCAGCAACCCGACCCCAACAGGGACGGACAGGGGACCGACAACGACGACGACGACGACGACGACGACGACGACGACGACGACGACGACGACGACGACGACGACGTCGATGACGACGACGACGACGACGACGACGACGACGACGACGACGACGACGACGACGGCGGCGACGACGACGACGACGAGCGAAAGCGAGAGCGAGAGCGAAAGCGAGAGTGAAAGCGAGAGCGACAGCGGGGCCACGAAGGGCAGCGAGGGGGCCACGAAGGGCGACGGCGGGGCCACGAAGCGCATTCATATGGGACCACGAAGGGCGCGAACGAGCGGGGGCCCCGACGGGCAGATAATGCGGGCCACCGAGGCCAACGACGGGACCACTGAGGGTAGCAACGGGGCCACGTAAGACAGCGAGGGGGCCACAGAGGGCGACAGCGGGGCCACGAAGGGCATACGTATCGGGCCACAACGGGCGCGAACGAGCGGGGGCCACGAAGGGCATACGTATAGTGGGCCGCAGAGGGCAGGGACGGGGCCACTGAGGGCAGCAATGGGGCCACGAAGGGCAGCGAGGGTGCCACGAAGGGCGACGGCGGGGCCGCGAAGCGCATGCATATGGGGCCACGTCGGGCGCGAACCAGCGGGGGCCACAAAGGGCGACAGCGGGGCCACGAAGGACATGCGTATGGGGCCACGACGGGCGCGAACGAGCGGGGGCCACGAAGGGCATACGTAGTTTGGGCCGCAGAGGGCAAGGACGGGGCCAGTGAGGGCAGCAACGAATCCACAAAGGGCAGCGAGAGGGGCCACGAAGGGCTGCAACGGGGCCACGAAGGGCAGCGAGAGGGCCACGAAGGGCTGCAACGGGGCCATGGAAGACAGCGAGGGGGCCACGAAGGGCTGCAACGGGGCTACGAAGGGCAGCGACGGGGCCACGAAGGGTTGCAACGGGTACACGAAGGGCAGCCACGGGGCCACAAAGGGCTGCAACAGGGCCACGAAGGGCAGCGACGGGGCCACGAAGGGCTACAACGGGCCCGCGATGGGCAACGAGGGGGCCAGAAAGGGCTGCAACGGGCCACGAAAGGCAGCGAGAGGGGCCACGAAGGGCTGCAACGGGTACACGACGGGTAGCGAGGGGGCCACGAAGGGCTGCAACGGGTACACGAATGGTAGCGAGGGGGCCACGAAGGGTTGCAACGGGGCCACGAAGGGCTGCAACGGAGCCACGAAGGGCAGCGAGATCCCGATTCTTAAGTATGCTATGAAGGAGTCGAAGCGTGAGCGCGACTCCTGGGTGCCTGAGTGCCCTGAGCCCGGCGGTTGAGTAAATTGCGGGAAATTCCAACGCAAGAGCGCGATTCTTGGGCAAATCGCAAGCAAGTCTCAAGCGAGAGCGCAACCCCAGAGCGCCGAGAGTGCGATTCCTGAATAGATTGTAAGAAATCCCAAGCGAGAGCGCGACTCCTGGCTAAAATGCGAAGACGTCTCAGGCGGGAGCGAGGCCCTGGTCAAATTGTGAGGAAGTCTCAGGCGGGAGCCGTTGTTGCTGTAATCTGGAAGCCAACAACGCAGTTTGAGCTTAGTGTATTTCCCTGATACTTTTTGGGGGGTGCGAGCCCCGGGGGGAAGCATTTCAATTGAAAAACACAATGGTCACCGGAGGGGGGATCAACAATAATCATTCTTCAGCAATGAGAATTAATTCAACAACCGCAAGAACAACGACAACGACAACGACAACAACCACAGTTATTTTAAGGTTGCTCGCTCTTATCTGCTCGAGTGTCTGTTAACGCGTATTCCCCAAACCCTCGATACCCGCCCTCTTCGTCTTCGATCGTACCCCTCTGGGGGGGATACCTTTCCTCCCTGCAGGCCAGGCCCCGGCAAGCGGCGGGGCGGCCCCAGACCGTCGGCCCACCCAGCGGCAGCGCTGATCGGCAGCAACCCAGCCCCAAGAGGGACGGACAGGGGACCGACCACGGCGACGACGACTACCACGACGACGACGACGACGACGACGACGGCGACGACGACGACGACGAGCAAAAGCAAGAGCGAAAGAGAGAACGACAGCAGGGCCACGAAGGGCACGAAGTAGGCCACGAAGGGCGACGGCGGGGCCACGAAGCGCATTCATATGGGGCCACGAAGGGCGCGAACGAGCGGGGGCCCCGACCAGCAGATAATGCGGGGCCACTGAGGCCAACGACGGGGCCACTGAGGGTAGCGACTGGACCACGTAGGACAGCGAGGGGGCCACAGAGGGCGACAGCGGGGCCACGAAGGGCATGCACATGGGGCCACGACGGGCGCGAACGATCGGGGGGCACAAACGGCATACGTATGTTGGGCCACGAAGGGCACCGAAGGGGCCACGAAGGGCGACCGCGGGGACACGAAGGAAATGCGTATGGGGCCACGAAGAGCGCGAACGAGCGGGGGCCACGAAGGGCATACATCTATGGGGCCACGAAGGGCGGCGAGGTGGCCACGAAGGACAGCAACGGGGCCACGAAGGGCAGCGACGGGGCCACGAAGAGCAGCGAGGGGGCCACGAAGGGCAGCGAGGGGGCCACGAGGGACTGCAACGGGGCAGTGAAGGGCAGCGAGAGGGCCACGAAGGGCAGCGAGGGGGCCACGAAGGGCAGCGACGGGGCCACAAAGGGCTGCAACAGGGCCACGAAGGGCAGCGACGGGGCCACGAAGGGCTGCAACAGGGCCACGAAGGGCAGCGACGGGGCCACGGAAGGGCACAACGGGGCCACGAAGGGCAGCAAGGGGGCCATGAAGGGCTGCAACGGAACGACGAAGGGCTGCAACGGGCCACGAAGGGCTGCAACGGGGCCACGAAGGGCAGCGAGGGGGCCACGAAGGGCTGCAACGGGGCCACCAAGGGCAGCGAGACCCCGACTCCAAAATATTATATGAGGGAGTCCTATGCGTGAGCGCGACTTCTGGGCGCCTGAGTGTCGGGATGGCGGGCGGGGCTTGAGTAAATTGCGGGAAATTCCAACGCAAGGGCGCTATTATTGAGTAAATTGCAGGTCTCCAGCGAGAGCGCGACTCCAGAGCGCCGAAAGAGCGATTTCTGAATATATCGTAAGGAAGTCCCAAGCGAGAGCGCGATTCTTGACTATTATGCGAGGAAGTCTCGGGCGGGAGCGGGGGTCCTGGCTAAATTGTGACGGAGTCTCAGGCGGGAGCCGTTGACGTTGTAACCCGGGGGCCAACGACACAGTTTGAGCCACAAGACATTCCCTTATTAAAAACCGGGTGCGAGCCCCGGGAGGGGCACTTCAATCGAAAAAAATACAAGTGCACCGGGCGGGGGGGATCAACAATAATTTTTATTCAGTAGTGGGAGTACAACAGCAACAGCAACAACAACAATTTTAAGACTGTTCGCTCCTATCTGCTCACGTGCCAATCAATACGTCTATCCCAAACCCTCGGCACCCGCCCTCGTCGTCTTCGATCGTACCCTCTTGGGGGTATATCTGCTTTACCTGCCACGTGTATTTAGCGCAGTCCCTCAAAAACAAAGGAAGAGGGGACGGGTGGAAGGGGGAGGGGCAATAATAGAGCACGAGAGAAATTAGCAGGAGAGGGGCAAAAAAACAGAAAACAGGTGGTAGAACTAGACGGGGAGATCGGGTGGGCAGACCCATAGCGGGCAGGTCGGGAAGGCGGGCCCAAGCGACGAGGTTGAGCAGGCGAGTTGCTGAACCGCGGGTCCTGCATGAATCGCGAAGAACTCTCGAGCGATAGCGCGATTCACAAGTAAATCGTAAGAAAAGCCAGCGCGGGCCACGAAGAGCATAAAATCCGAGGCCAGAGGGCAGCGACGGAGCCGCTGAGAGCAGCACCGGGGCCACGAAGGGCACCGAGGGGGCCACAAAGGGCAACAGCGGGGTCACGAAGGGCATGCATATGGGGCAACGACGGGCGCGAGCGAGCGGGGGCCACGAAGGGCATTCGTAAACAAAGACGACGACAACAACAACAACAACAACAACAACAACAACAACAACAACAACAACAACAACAACAATTACTAGCACGTGGGGACACACCGTTCTCACCAGTGCCAGGGTTTTCATAGGAGGCGGGCAATACCCCCACTTTGTGGGGGGGCCGGTTCAAGCTCTACCAAATTTCCAAACGACTCTTCGCCACCACCCACACCCAGCTTCCCGCCCTATGACGTTCGGACACTTCACTTCGTGGCATGCGGACGACCGTGGCTACTATTCAGGGCCCCGCGGCCGACGACGACGGCGTGCGCGCGCGAAGAAAAAACGAATGTGTCCCGCATGGTATTATTTGACAGGGATGATGGCCCTGGCAGGTGCGCAACCGTTGTTGCAGAAGTTCGAAAAAGTTGCTCGCAAAAGCCCGTTTGACAGAAATGTTTAAAAAGTGTTGGGTTTCCTACGAATCCGCAAGAGCGCGCGGGATGAAATTTTGACATTTTTTTGAAAAACCATTG